TGTATTTTGTACAAATACTTGTCCCTTTTGAGGAGACATATTAAGCATGAGGTCATCATAGTTGGTCATCTTTTTTAAATAAAAACAAAAATAACAAAAACAACAATCAAGTAGCCGATCATTTGTCAAAGATCGAAGGCAAAATGTCAAGCGGGGGAAACCATGTGATAAAAGAAACTTTTCCCGACGAGTACATTTTGGCAATACAAGAAAATCAACCAAATGAACTTTCATGGTATGCCGATATTGCCAACTACCTTGCTTGTGGGCTTAGGCCACATCAYCTTCACGGTCAACGCTTTAAGAAATTTCTTCATGACTGTAACCACTACTTATGGGACGATCCATTTCTTTACAAAATGGGAGCATATCAAGTTTTGCGAAAATGCGTTCCAAGTTTGGAAATTCCTTCTTTATTGAAAGATTGTCATGCATCGCCGTATGGTGGCCATTTCGGTGGACAACGTACGGCCGCAAAAATTTTACAAAGTGGATTTTTCTTGCCAACATTGTTTAAGGACACATTTGATTTGTTAAGAGATGCRATCAATGTCAAAGAATGGGAAACTTGTCCCAACGAAACGAAATGCCTTTAAATAACATTCTTGAAGTTGAACTTTTCRACGTTTGGGGCATTGATTTTATGGGACCGTTTCCTATGTCTTTCAATAATCAGTATATTTTGGTAGCGGTTGATTACGTTTCAAAGTGGGTGGAAGCTAAGGCGTGCCCCAAGAACGATGCTAAGACGGTAATCGATTTTTTACATAAAATTATTTTTGTCCGTTTTGGAACTCCCCGAGCTTTGATAAGCGATGAAGGGACGCATTTTATGAATCGAATGCTAGCTACCGTTCTTACCAAATACAACATCCAATATCGAGTTGCTACRGCATACCAACCCCAAACGAATGGTCTTGCCGAACTTTCGAACTGAGAAATTAAAAATATTTTAGAAAAAGTTGTAAGACCGGATCGTAAGGATTGGTCGCTCAAGTTGGATGATGCATTATGGGCATACCGCACCGCATTCAAAACCCCTTTGGGAATGTCGYCGTACCAATTAGTTTTTGGAAAAGCATGTCACCTCCCGCTCGAATTGGAGTATAAGGCTTTTTGGGCGATAAAAGAATTTAATTTGGACGCAAATTCGGCGGGAGAAAAAAGAAAACTCCAACTTAATCAGTTGGAAGAATGAAGATTTCATGCCTACGAGAATGCCAAACTCTACAAGGAAAAAACAAAATTTTGGCATGATCGTAGGATAAATCGTCGAATTTTCGAGAGTGGTCAAAAAGTTCTTCTTTTTAATTCTCGACTAAAGCTTTTTTCCCGGAAAACTTAAGTCGAGATGGTCTGGACCATTCACCATTGTCAATGTGGGAAAATTCGGAACTGTGGATCTTTTGAATCCCCAAGATAATAGGACTTTCAAAGTTAACGGGCATCGGATAAAGCATTTCCTCCCGGTTTGTAAAGGTTTGTAAATATTTTATTTTGAAAGCAAGAATGGAGAAAAAGAAAAAAAAAAATAAAGGAAAAATCTGGTCTTTTTGAGTAGACAGTGGGAAGTTTGTGCCCACTGTTTGGGTAATCCGAATTTTAAAAGAGAGGAGCCAGCAGCATTTTATTTTTTGTGTGAACAAATGCATACTYTTTTCATGATAATGGGAAATTGGCTGGAAATGAAGTGTTTAAAGAAATGACACATGATGTCATCTTGAGGTAAACATGGGAGATTGTGAAAAGAGGGTTTTTGGAATCATTGGCCAAGTACATGGTAGATGATTAGCCTTTGATATATGGGTTTTCTTTGGAGAAATATTTGGAAAAGGAAAAATAAATGGGAAGAAGGTAAAAAGAAATTTTTACATTTTTTTAAATTTGATGATGGAGAGCATGATTTTATTTTAAAAATGACAAATTTTTGTAAAATTTTTGAAAATAAAATTTTAAAATATGCATTTTTCAGCTTAAGTCTTTTTGAAAGTTTTGGGTATAATACTTGTATTTTGTACAAATACTTGTCCCTTTTGAGGAGACATATTAAGCATGAGGTCATCATAGTTGGTCATCTTTTTTAAATAAAAACAAAAATAACTTATCATCATTATCTCTCAAATCACCTTTTTCATTTTCCTTCCCAAGATTTTAAACCAAAAAACCCACTTATTTTTCCCTCATTTCTCATTTCTCCCTTCGCCTACCTTCATCTTTGCCCTTCCAAGAAACCGCCGGCCACACTCTTTCATCCATGGCAAGACCAAAGCAACCGGTGAGAAACCACCCATCCCGGCGTTCACTTTGCTGGCGAAAGACTGTCGCCGCTTCCACCACCGCTGCGCCACCGACGACTGACCTCGTCGGCCGAACCATCTTCATCAACGACGGGAGGATCCTCCACCGCCAGTGCCATCGCCACGAGCACCATTGCCGCCTTCCGCGACCCCACTCCGGCGACTGTAAGTCCTTCTCTTCCATCTTCATCTACACAACACTCAACCCCAACCACCACCGTACTCTCTATCGATGATGATGGTATGGCTGTCCTTACAAGGGTGGCTCTATCATCTCATTTGGCCGAATCATCCTCAACCCCAAAAACATTTTCTATTTCATTGAGTACCTCATTTGCCCCTCCCACGATTGCACCCTCAAGACCCATTTCCACTCCCATCCCAAGTGATGAGGAACCAACCCTAGCCCCTTCACCCACAGCTTCCCCAAATCACTCATGGTTTGATTTGAACCAAATGGGGAAGGGTGAGGATGAAGGCTTGGACGATATCACGTTTGATTTTGAAAGTATACCGAAGGGAGGACAATCCAAAACTTACCCATTCGAGACACCGTCAACTTTTGGTGCCGGTAAAAAAGCCCGATAAAACCCCCCGTCACAGTCCCTACTGTTGAAAGGAGGCAAACTCGTTCGTCGAGTCAAGCTTCGGGTGGGCCGAAGACT